TATCAGCTTAATCAGTTCCTCAATTAAAGCCTCAAAACTGTTTGTGTCCGTAAAACTAATTAGGAAAATGCATCTCTTGGTTTTATTAATGACATTTTCTCAATATTGTGTTGATGAATCTTCTCTTCAGCAGTTTCTCACCGCAATGATGTCGAGACTTCAGGAGTTCCTCTGTGAGGAAAAACACATTCTGCTTTAATGCATCCAGTGTAAAATCTCATTTATATAATGTTCTCTGTACAGTAAATTAATGAAATATGAATAAAAGTAATATACCATTTAAAATGTTTGCTTTTCCCCCTCTTGCTGTGTTTTCTGTTTCTGGCCTTCTCTTATTCTCCCTTGTCTTGTTTTCTTGTGTTCCTCCGATCTTTCTCTTCACATTATTCCTCCTGGGATTCCCTATAGTCTTCTGTGTGTTTCAATAAACTTCCCTGATTCTGATCGTGTTTCAACCCAATTTTGTGACAATATTGTTTTCCAGCCTTTTCAAGAATTCAGCACATCTGTCTGTTTAATGACGGATAAAACTGTAGGATTATCTAATCACACATTAACATTAAATTATGAATTTTGATGCATCATAAGTTTGCACAATAAACTGTAACGGGAGTGCTGTATTCAGGCTCTAAGAACATGACAGGAATATGTGACTATTAATGTGTGTTTACAGGACTTTCTTCCTCTGTTTGCTTTAGATTGTGCCTTTGTTTTTCATCATTATCTATAATTTAGTCATTTTAAACTGTCTTTCTGCTTTATATCTGTGGACCAGCAAGCTTATATTGACCTACTTTTATATAATATAATATAACATGTAGGCCTGTTTACTGCAGCGTTTTCACACACAATGAAGGTCATAGAAGAATAAATATCATTTTTGTTTTTAATAAACTAAGGAATCTGACTGGCTGGTAATATTAGCAAAGTTTATAGGGACAGTTTCTGAAAAGTGCATTAGTTCAACATTAGGCTTCAGTAATTGGGTAATTTGCATTATTAAGACAACATTAAAAGTGAATTGTTGGATCCTTAAAACCTCGTGTCACTGATGTGTCAAAATCTCCAGCCGAACAAAGCCGGAAACACTGTTGGTTTATGAATAAAATAACTCTATCATTGTTTAATTACGTACTCCTTCATATTTATACACTCTTAGCACCTAGTAGATCTAAATACAATCTAAGATCAAGTACACTGAATGATGTTCCACAAACTAAAACAGAGTTTGGCAAAACTGCTTTTAGTTACAGTGCCCCAACTTCATAATGAGTTGCAAAATCAGCTAAAATTGCAGGTTTTAATTTCACAAATCTGAATTCAAGTCAAATGTATCAACATGTTTGCAATTGTTTTAAAATGTGATTTTCTGTTTTTATTTTGTATATTCTGTTTGCTACTTGTTGTCTGTGTAAGTGTATCCTCTGCTCTTGTAAAAGAGATTGTAATCTCAATGTGATTTTATTCCCTGGTAAAATAAAGCCAAACAGCAATAGTTTCGATAGCAAAATTATATCAATTTAAACACATCAATGTCTAAAGTTTGTTGTTTTAGATCGAAAAGTTTCTCAGTTTTGGTTCAGAGTTAAAGAGAAATTTTTGGTTTCACATGTAAGACACAAAATATCCTCACTAGTGAAACATGAGGACAATTATGATTCTTATATTTTCTGTTGTACTTGTGAAAAGAAATGGGGCTCTCATGACACAAAGATAAATATTGTCATGGGTCAGAAAAACAAAGTTTCAAACATTGTCCAGAAAGGCACAAGCTAGAACAAGGAGGGAAATAAGAAATAGTGATAAAAATAAGTTGTTTTTAAGTCACTTGCTTTAAATGAGAAACTCATTCAGAGCTTTAACACAATCATCATTCACAAGCCGAAAACTGAGAAACAAATGACGATTTACATTTTTATTTACATGATATGATGTACATTAGCGTATGAAAACAAGTTAAAACATTAATACTGTGATCAGACGTATATATTTATGATGATGATGATGATTATAAGGCCAGAGCTGAGAGTCACAGTCAGACTCGGGATGATGTTCTTGTGCTTCAAGCGGCCCAAAACAACATCTGTATCAAAGCCTCCTCACGACCCTCACTGATGCTGATTTCATTAAAGTCTCTATCAGACTGTTAGCTGAACACACAGAGGACGCCTTCAGACTTTTACACACTTTTACAGTAAAACTTTCCATCAAATTTACACGCGGCTTTTCCCCGCGGCTGATGCTCGCCTTGGATTTGATCTGATAGAGTCGAAAGAAACATTTCCTCCTCGCGAATTTTAGTCTCTAATGAAAGTCCAGAACCTCTGCTTGCTGTTCACTTTGTTTTGACTGCGAAAAACCATTTAATCGCTCCAGTTTTAGCTCAAATGTAAGAGAAGAAAACACAAGAGTCCGCGGCTCGTGGACGCGCAAAGACACAGAGCGGGCGGGTTGAGTCTACGAGGTTCTCATGTGTTGTTTAAAGGCGCAGCGCCGCGCGACCGCTGATCATTCACTGCTGAGAGCAGACCGTGTGTGAAACACTGCAGATCATCCGATCAGAGAGAGAGAGATATGGCAGAAACCGCCCCCGCCCCGGCTGCTGCCGCCCCGGCCAAAGCGCCCAAGAAGAAGTCCGCGGCGAAAGCCAAGAAAGCAGGTCCCGGCGTCGGCGAGCTGATCGTCAAAGCGGTGTCCGCGTCCAAGGAGAGGAGCGGCGTGTCCCTCGCCGCGCTGAAGAAAGCGCTCGCTGCCAGCGGCTACGACGTGGAGAAGAACAACTCCCGCGTCAAGATCGCCATCAAGAGCCTGGTGACTAAAGGCACCCTGGTGCAGGTCAAAGGAACCGGCGCCTCGGGCTCCTTCAAGCTCAACAAGCAGCAAGCCGAGAGCAAGAAGAAGCCCGCGGCCAAGAAAGCGGCTCCTAAAGCGAAGAAGCCCGCGGCCAAGAAACCCGCCGCTGCCAAGAAGCCCAAGAGCGCCGCGGCAAAGAAGCCCGCAGCCGCTAAGAAATCGCCCAAGAAGGCCAAGAAACCCGCCGCCAAGCCCGCTAAGAAGGCGACGAAGAGCCCCAAGAAGGCGAAGAAGCCCGCAGCCGCTAAGAAAGCAGCCAAGAGCCCGAAAAAGGCCAAGGCGGCGAAACCGAAGGCGGCAAAGCCTCAAGCCGCCAAGCCTAAAAGGGGACCTCCCAAGAAGAGATAAACATCTACTCTACCCCACAACGGCTCTTTTAAGAGCCACCCACTAACTCTGAGTAAAGAGCAAAACTCGTGTATTATAATAATTTAAGTTTTGAAAGCAAATAGCCAAGATGTGACTTACAGCTTCTTGGACTCATGCAATCTGAACGAACAATAGAAAACACTTTTTGAGTCTAAAATTAGTCACAAAGTTTTGAAAAACTTTAAACCATTTTGTATGCATAAAAATGGCCAAAAGCTTATGAGGATTCGTCAGTGATCACAGTTCAAATAAGATTGTGTAACAGTACAGAATACATACACATAACACTATATTGGAGAATTGTGACAAGACAAACAACAATAAGCAGTGGTAAAACTCCAGTATCGGGTCAATGTGCTCAGAATATCAGAATCAAATCAAATCCCTTTATTGTCACACAACCATATACACAAGTGCAACAGCGGGTGATTCTTGGCTGCAGTTCCGAGCAACAGCAGGAACAATTTACAGCAAACATCAGATTTACACAATTTACATAATTTACACATCTAATGTGCGCACAATTACTAATGTACCATAATACACTAACAAAACAATAAATACTATACAATATAAGTATTTATACATACAATAGGTACACATGCGATAAAAAATATATGTATGTAATATACAGTATAGGTTATGTTGTGCTGTGTTGACAATTAGATTGTTTATGGTAATTAACATAAACTATATGTAACTATATGTAATATACAGTGTGTGAAAGGTGTAACAGTTTTATCAAATCCATTTTTGTACCTATTAGTTTTATTTCTTCTGTCTGTCAAATACTCGTGCATAAATATTCCCGCCAGAAAGGGGGTTGGGCTTTGGAGGGAAGTTCAGTGATTGGTTTAAATGTTAACAGACTCTAAGCCAATGAGCGACTGGCGCTCTCGGTTAAAGACAGTGTGTGGAAGCGCTGCGCTTCATTCTGTTCTCTTCCACTGTGAAGGTTGTAGAAACTGATCAATAAAATGAGCGGCAGAGGCAAAACCGGCGGCAAAGCCCGAGCGAAGGCCAAGACTCGCTCGTCCAGGGCAGGGCTGCAGTTCCCCGTCGGCCGTGTCCACAGGCTCCTCCGCAAAGGCAACTACGCCGAGCGCGTCGGTGCCGGAGCTCCTGTGTATCTGGCGGCTGTGCTCGAGTATCTGACCGCGGAGATCCTGGAGCTGGCTGGAAACGCCGCTCGGGACAACAAGAAGACCCGCATCATCCCCCGGCACCTGCAGCTGGCGGTGCGCAATGACGAGGAGCTGAACAAGCTTCTGGGCGGAGTGACCATCGCTCAGGGCGGCGTGTTGCCCAACATCCAGGCCGTGCTGCTGCCCAAGAAGACCGAGAAGCCCGCCAAGGCCAAGTAGCGCTCCGGCCCCTCACCGACGACCAACGGCTCTTTTAAGAGCCACTCATTCCGTCTGATAGAGAGCGCTTTTCTCTGTTAATAATCGTATACTCGTTAGGTTGTGGACAAAATGACTTATTTAAGTGTAAACCTAGGGACACATATCTTCTAATATTAATCCTCTATGGTACTCCATATCAACGAGAAAACGTGTTTTTTTTCTTGCATGCAATTGGACACAAACACTATCAATCTAAACATTTTCATTAATTGATGTAATTTTTAAGTTTGTTCCTACATTGTACCACAATGGATAAATTGAAACATTTGACTTTTTCATTTAGAAAGTATACATTTATTGAAAACATCATTTTTTTTTTAATCAGACACTTTTTTATTCAGTATATAATAAAAAGTAACATTTCATATCCAGCTGTTGCTCTCAGGCAACAACCATAGAGGAGCACAATTATTACCAAACCATCATATCAAGTTATGATCTTCATCATCTTCACACTCACTGTCACTATATCCTCCTCTTCCTCATCAGTGTGACTCCTCGTCCTCATCAATGCAGTTTTATACCTTTTTTAGGTGCTATAAAAAATATGCAATCATTATTTACAGAAAAATAAAACACTTTTTTCATTTTAAATTTTACTTATTAATTCTTAAAAATCATTGCTGCATGTGGCAATTGACATTGTAAGGGGTATACAGTCAAAGACCCAGAACCAGATATGAAGAATGAAGACCCGGAGTCAGAATTATAAAAAATTAAAGAAAAGTTTTACTGAAGATAGTTTGCATTTTCATCAGCAGAAGCCAGCTTCAAGACTCACACAGGAGTTCGTAGGCCGCCTCCCTTACAGTTACAAAGATCACAGCAGTTATACCATTTCCAAGGTCTAAGCTACGTCATTGCTTACAGGTTGAATGATTCTCATTGGCTAAGAAACATTAAAGCCTAAACAATTTAACACATGTGAGGAGATAGGGGTGCCTATCGCCATTAGTAAAGATAGTTGTCGTCCACTCATTAGATTTAGGCCTGTGGTGGCCTCGCAGGTTAGAGAAGGGCGCCGGGGTGTCTGGTCCGAACGTCCAGAACCTACATAGAATGTCATACGCACACACACACAAATAACAGACACTAGCAAATAACAGCTCCCATCAAGGCTGAAGAGAGTCTGAGCTCCTTATTATCAGTTAAGTATACCAAAACATACTGCTAAAACATTCACTCGTTTGGGAGAAAAACAGATCACTGGCATTTACTCCCAAGGAAGGAAATATACTGGAAAGAATACATTTTAATACAACAATTCAAGTTTGATAGTAACGCTCAATATAGCTTGACCATATGTCCAGCGAAGAATCATATGTGCCCACGCTGCCTTTAGGACCCTCTAACCTTTCTACTGATCCCAGAGAAAGAGACAAACGGCCTTGTGGGTTACGTGGCCTTCGTGTCCTGCGTGTACTACGTGCAATCTCAAAGTAAGATTGGAATGCACCTAAAAGAAACTGGTTACTTGCATCCATGCATTTAAGAAAATATAATTTCACAAGCACAAGAATATAAAAATTATTATGTGATAATGAATATATTTGATTATTGATTTTTATAAAGGAAGTATATAACCATTCAAAATGATATATGATTATATATGTATTTGAAGAGGCAAGGGATTTTGACCAACCCTTCAGTCCCCCGTTTTAGACCAATGTGGGGTCCAATACCGCCACGTCTGGTCTAACCAGTGAGGTCACTACGGAAGGGAGGAGTGGTGACGCATGCTCCCCTGACGGGTCACACTTGTCTCTTCACCTCGTCACGGACATGCTGGATATTAAAAATTCCAGTCCCCATTAAGAGGCTCTCCCACCTTCCACTCACAACAGGACATCAATGTCATTCTTCCTCAGTTTATCAGTCAGGTTAAAATTTTTATAAAACACATAACTGATTACGAAACAAGTACATATTTTTTCTCTGGAAGCCAGGCTAAATAAGCAAGCACTATTGCTGTATTCCTACTAGCATGGGCTAGATCCACAGTCACTACTCAGATCCTAAATAAAGACATTGTCTATAATCATGAATACCAGAATATATGCACTAGTTTTTTTATTTTTTTATAAAATTATGATTTCCAAATCCTTTTATTATAAACAAAGTTGGATGGTTAATCCATTATTTTCACTACCCCTTTTATAGACCCTTTAGGTTCAAAACACAATGGTTGTCTAACTAAAAATAAACAACAAACAATAAAATATTAATAATTAAGACCCATAATAATCGATGTAAGCCCTTTAAGTCTTTACTGAAATCATCCTTCAGTTTACGGTCACATAGCATGTACCATTTTAATTGTATAACATCTTATACCCTTTTTTGTTTGTTTCAAAAATAGAAATAAAATAAAACAAATTCACATCATCATTTCAGTCATTATTTTACCACTAAAATATAGGATCGTTCCCCATTCTGCTTAATAAAGCTTTTGTTTATTCCTTATCTTTATATCACTTGAATCCCTGTCAATCATACAATGTCTTATTGTTTTTATTTTGAAACTCACTTTTTCATACCATTTAAACTTAATTTGACTTCCATAAATCCTATCAGAAATTGTATTTTCATAACATACATTTTCTTCTACTATATTTCTTCCATCTTGCCCTAAATGCCAGTTCCTTCTGCATCCGAGTCTCTCACCACTGTCAGCCTAGTGACACTTAAAGTTCCCTCATTAGGGGAATCATGGTATTTTATTAATTCTTCAATACTCTTGTTTTCTTATCATTAACTTCAACTTTATTTTTCATTATAACTACTTCTCACAGTATTTGTCTCAGTTCCACTTATCTTTACAGTTTTACAGAAACCAAAATATTATGTTACTCAGATCCCAGCCCACAGCCATATAGCTGCTTTCTCTTTTTACCTTTATTAAATTGTAGTTTTCTTAGACATCTAATGTCATACATACATTTAATCGATTGAGAAATAAAACCTTTTCTTTTTAGAAGTTATATTCACTCCTTCTTTGTTCGCCCTCCGGCCTTTCAATAAAAATGAGGGAACTCACTCTGGATAATTTGGATAGTGACTTAGCCAATGTGTCACTTTGTCTCTCTGCCGTCAAGTCTATATGTATATATCTTTTTTTTTTTTTTTCTACGTTTATCCTTATGATCCCACCTAGTTGTCTATTTAAATTTAGACCCTCAGTTGAATTTAGACAAGAGTTTTACCCCAGAATGGACGGCAATCTTCTTTACAATTCCAATTTATATAAAATACTAATCCAGAGAGTAATTCAGTTCAATATCATAAATGACAAAAGCATTCATAATTACCAATAGCAGACAGAGCTGGAGAACCACTCCAATTAAAGCTCGTCCCATGTTCTGCATTGTCTTTTCATCAGATTGTCTTAGAATTATCAACCTTTTTTAAAGTTGGTCATTTCACTTAACCCATCTGTAATGATAAAACACTAATTCCAGAGGTTAATGACACAATATCCTCAAAATCAGGAAATAATAGTACCCCAAACTAATACATACAAGACATAAAGTGCTGTCACCATCATACGCACTCATACTAGACACACATATGTTAACTGTTCATTTTCAATGTTCATTTTTCTTTATATTATTGCTAAAAGATTTAAATTTTAAATAAGATTTTAAACTTCCCATTTTCCGGTAGCTTCTACCTAATTTTACATGGTCTCCCAACCAGTTTCAAAGCATGCCTGTTCATTATTCATTAGAATTTAACAAGGTCAGCTGGGTTGTTTTGTTTCATTATCATTATTTTGCTTCAGCTTGCTCTAGCAGGCCAATAATGGAAAGACAGACACAGTTACCATCCCTTCCTCCGCTCAAGCAGTCTCTCTCACTATAAATAAATAATCTTTTTCAACAGCCTTCTAAGGCTGTAACTTAGACATAATGTAATATTAAATTAATTACAATAACCTTTGACCATTCACCTTGTTATCCAGACTTTTCTCAAATCTACAAAAGCTGTCTTCATCTTTAGCCACCACCATGTCTAACGACCTTCAGGAGTTAAAACTATGTCATAGACCTATTAGTTCAAAATCATCACTATGATTTTCCTTGCCCATAAGGCAAACCAGTACATAAAAAGTTTTGCTACTGTCTCCACAACAACTAATGGGAATCACTTCATGGCCTCAGCTGGCTCTTGAAAGCCCACTCCTGTTAGCCCTTTATCTATAATCTCCATCAGGGTGTTTTCCCCTGGCATATTTGCAGACGCTTGTCACAATAAAAAAAAAACAAGCCATACAATGAATGCGGTTTCTGGTGATTGGTATTAGAGGAACACTCACGTTTCGGGGTCAGACTGTCTGTAACTCCTCACAGCGCATCCGCCCTAACGATAAAGGATGCTGCTGGCCTCACAGTCATCCGTTCCACTCTCATACCTTTCTCACATAAACACCTCCATCTTGAGATGCCCAGTGACTTTACGTGATCCACTCTGGCTTGGGTTGCCCCCTGTCTGGCCAATAGAAGGTCTTACCCGTCATTGAGTAGCCACTCGTGCCCACTGGTGACCGCTCTTTCCCATCACAGGCTGTTTGCTTCAACAGAACTCAGCTGTTTTCTAGAGCTTAGGAAAGGCACGTTCAAGAGTCACCAGAGCCATTCCGATTGCCTAATAGTGTTCACATAGGGAGACAGGTCAAAAACAACAGTATTTAATCACTTAAATCCATTAACTATCTTAAAAGCAGCAACCTAGCTACTTGGATTATACTCAGTGAATTTAGATCACAACCGTACATTCAGTGTACTTTTCCGTCGGCCCCTCCCCCGTTTCATGGTGGGGACTAAGATCAGACAAAGAAGTTACGGGTCCTAAAATAACCTAATCAAAGATGTCACTACAAATAGCTTATTATCACTTATGACACCGACTCAGGTAACAGCTTTTAGCTGACATTGACTGAGAGAGAGACATTGAATGAGGGAGGGACTGGTACACTGCACTCTGAACGTCTAACTTTATCTACCATCTTTTAACTCTATCCCAGCTTAAGGCATCTTT